TTCTGGTTGACTCAAGCGTACCCCGTTACGCATACGCCCATGCAAGCATAGGTGCTCGAGGCGGAGATCACGAGATTCAATCCCCGCTGCGACAGGGATCGCCGATGTGACACCAAGCCCGATACTTGAAATGGTTACGTCACTTTCAGTATTACCATAAAGTGCGCTAGAGTCGTGGAGTGTTGCGGCCAAGCACATATTGCTAAAACCGCCGTCACACTGACATCTACAAAAGACATGTTCGAGGCAAAAATGATGAGAGAATCGTCAGCAAACACGCCTTTAAGACGGGGACACACTGCATCACACCAAACGACAGTCTGCATAAAGATTCGAAGGAGAGTCACTGCGAGACTCGTGCTTCGAATGCCGCGGGACAATGAGTTCAAGGAGGAAACTTTGGCAGCCGGCATTCGGTTCACGGATATTGCGGGGACACGTATACGATGTATGAGCAGTGTGACCCCGGCTTTAAGCATGCTTCATACATACGTGTGCTTCGAACGTAGAGATTTTGTGTGACCGTCATGCCAGGAAGAAACAGACAGTGTCTGCGGAATAGTGATGGGCCGCACTTTTGCCAAATCAAAAATTCGGTGCCGAATCTTGGGATTCGGCAAAGCCGAACTTTTGCCGAACTTTTCTAAAAATTCGGCAAAGATTCGGCAAAAATACATTGTTGCCAGACTTAAAAGTGATATTTCGTTTTTTCTGACGAAAACTATTTCAGTTTTTTTTCTTAAACTTAAATGCAACGTATAATGCACATTGATACAGTTATTTGTAAATAAGGTGATATTCTACAAGATAATTGTATCGGTGTCCTTTTTGTGTTTACTGGCAATTTTACAGCACTCCTTGCAGAAGTGGTGTGACAACGACGTTGAGTAGCGGCCGCAGCCACGACACGCGAGTTTCTGTTTTGACTCCTCATCAGCGCAAGGCATGCCTGCAATTGTCTATGCCAACGTTACGTCTGTGCATTGTTTTCGGTTAAAGGGAAATAAAGACGGTACCACTGTGTTCTTACTTTCTCTGCGAGCCACTGTTTCGCACGTGAAAATGAATGAACCGGCTGCTGAGCCTGCTGAGCCAGCTGATCCTCCACCAGAAGAGATAATATTATTGTAAGTTTGCATGTTTTTCGATTTGAGTCACTTGACGCCAGCTTTGCATGAAAGTGTGCGTTCCATATTCGCGACGTCTCGTTTTTAACTTTTAAAATACTGGTTTCTGATCTAAGAACACGCGGTCGTTTAAAGAGATAGGAAGAGTTAGGAATGTCGGATATGGAACGTCGTGGGCAGGTTTAGTTTTAGGTGGGTGATGAAAACCGCGAAATGACGCTAATTAAAAAGCAATATATATATATATATATATATATATATATATATATATATATATATATTTGCACAAACAATTTGTGAGCCAAACACAGGATTGCTATAATTGCGAGGAGTGCTTCAAACTACTTGTCAGAAATGTTGCAATTACCTCGTTGCATCACACAACAGAATTTATGTGCTAATGAAAATGTCAAAATTTCCTCAACATGGCATGTTTGGGTGCCCACGACGATTCGCTGGCTATTTAAGTGACCGTATAAATCAGCCTCATAACGCATGACGGAATGCTTTATCAGAAAGGTGTCTGAACGTGGTGGAATCATTATTTGGAGGTGTGATGGCATGAAACCTTCGGAGTCAAAAGAAAAGTTTTGCTTTATGTCAAAATTGCTGCATTTTTTTTAAATATATTTAAGCAATTTGTCTTGGGCCATTCTGGCGTTTAATACGACTGAAAAACGGGTGGAATACAAAGGACACCTAAATTGGCTTACATATATTATTCAATTCAATTCATTAGACCAAAATACGCGTCACAAAAGCACAAAATATTGTTTATGAGATTCTCACACAATGTTTATATCCTTATTTGGGTCAGCACCAAGCGATTTACAAACAGGAATGCAGACCCAGTCATATTGCGCCTTAGATGTTTTGTTTGTGTATGTGCATGCAAAATTATCGGTATGATATTTGTTTCTGTTTTACATCCACTCATTAACACATTGCCAGCTGAAATCAAAACAATACTTTGAGATTAATATCTCGTCTATTTTTGCATTACAAGTGAAACTCCACATGGTGTGATGCATGAATCACTGGAAGAGACAGCCCCTGAGCCAACTGCTCCCATAGACGAGGCTCAAGCTCCAGTCAATCTCATTGATCTGGAGGAGTTGGAGGGGCTCAACTTTTCCTTCCTTCAAGGTAAAATATGTCATAACCAAAAGTTAGCAACCTACAACCGCCTGCAAAAAAGGCAATCAATGTAGCACATCATCGTTTTTTCTCAAATATGTATTTTATTTGTCATAGCATCACCAGAAAAAATAAGAAAATGCTGAAAGCAAGCAATTAAAACCCCAATATTTGACACAGTTCCCTCCAACTAAGTCGAATTAGATAATCGGTCAAGTTTTATGGTGCCTGTAGGTGCACTTTCTGATTATAGGGACACCAAATATGGATGGGATGAGCTTTAATCGGGACCTGTGTAATTTATTATGCCAACAGCACTGTTGGGCCAATAGCTATGCGATCCATAGTGAGAGAAAATATCAGTTCAGGTGGGCTGATTAAGGAAGGCTTACAGAAGATTTTTTAGAGCGCAGCTCTTAGGGGCCCGTTCCCGGCTTGAGCGGCGTCGGCGTCGCCGTCGGCGTAACCAAGGTCACCCCAAGGTCACGCGACCCCCCAAGGTCATCCCAAGGTCACGTGGCCCCAAAGGTCACCTCAAGGTCACGTGACCCCCCAAGTCACGTGACCCCCCCGAGGTCACATGACCACCCTCAGGGTCACGTGACCTCCCCGATGACGTCATCGTCACTGATGACGTCACTGGCATCCACATCGTCATCGTCATCATCACTGATGACGTCATCCGTGACGTCACTGATGACCTCACCGGCATCCGCATCGTCATCGTCATCATCACTGATGACGTCATCAGTTACGTCACTGATGACGTCACCGGCATCCGCATCGTCATCGTCATCATCACGGATTACATCATCAGTGACGTCACTGATGACGTCACCGACATCCGCATCGTCATCGTCATCATCGCTGATGACGTCATCGGAGTCCGCATCGTCATCGTCACTGATGACGTCATTAGTGACGTCACTGATGACCTCACCGGCATCCGCATCGTCATCGTCATCATCACTGATGACGTCATCAGTGACGTCAATGACGTCACCGGCATCCACATCGTCATCGTCATCATCACGGATGACGTCATCAGTGACGTCACTGATGACATCATCGGCATCGTCACGTGACCCCCCAAGGTCACGTGACCCCCCCCCAGGTCACTTCACCCCCCAGTACCCTTCCCTCCTCCTCCTCAAGAGCTGCGCTCTAATTCGGTGTTACAGGGAGTTGTAAACGGCTTTCACTTTTTTTTGATAATGCAATCAGGCATTCAATTAAGAAAAAGTTTTATCAGATTTAGTTTTGAAAAAACGTTCAAACACTCAGAACTACATGGAACATGCAACTGAAAGTAAATGTTTTGTTTGTCCAGCTCAAGAGCTAGAAAGGCAAGGCTGCTAGGTGATTCAGAAGAGTGCTGCAGCTACAAGTGACAAATCATCTGCCAGCACAAGCGCCTCTACCAGTACAAGCGATGTTCCTCTTATAAGCGATGCTCCTGCAAGTTCCGCCATCCTCACCGCTGCGTCTAGAGGGAACCTTCAACCCAGCCACGAAAAGAATGCGACAGGACCTCCGCTTCAGACTTCTAAGCAACAAAAGACGGTTTCTACCATATGGACTCATTTTGAAAGTTGCACCAAAGATAAGCTGGCAGCTACCTGTTGCTACTGCCGAAGGAAGGTACGTGTTGGAAAACCGGGAGGCGACACTCGCACGACGGGGACCACAGCACTGCACAACCATATGAAGCGTAACCACGCACACCTTGTTACAAATCCCAGGGAAGCAGCAGCAAAGGAAATAAGATCACTAATTCAACAGAGTGCACCCGAGTAAAAAAACCAGAAGAAAGTGCAACTGACGGTCCACGAAACACTAGACTGGAAGAAGGTCTGGGAGCCCACTGATGCGCAGGCACTGCTGCACTGTCAACAGCTGGCACAATTTCTGGCCGTCAGCATGGTGGTGGAAGACTCAGCATTCCTCAGGTTCATGCACTACTGTGTGCCCAAATGGAAGATTCCTGGGAGGAAACACTTTGCTTCCTCTGTTGTTCCTGCTCTCGAAGCAGCCATTCGTGAGGCCCTCAAGAAAGAGCTCAAACTCAGCATTGGGAAAATAGTGCACCTGACCACCGACATCTGGTCAAGCCGGCAAGTGACGGACTACATGTCTGTCACAGCTCACTGGATGATCCAGGATCAGCAGGGATGCCTGTCCAGACGGAAGGCAGTCATGGACTTGGCAAGTTTCGGCCAAACGCACACGGCTGAGAATATAGCCGAAAAGTTGGACTCCGTCATGAAACGCTGGCTGCCACCTCTGGACTTAGAACCAGGTTATGTGTCCACGGGCAACGCTCAGAATGTTGTCAGAGCATTAAGAGATGTCAACATGAAGCGCATTCCGTGCATGGCGCACTGTCTCAACCTCGTTGTGAAAGGAGGCCTATCGAAGGCTGGACCAACTGTGGAAGATGTTTTAAAGACTTCCCGGGCCATCTGTGGACATTTTCACCATTCGGCTACAAAAATGTCAAAGCTCGCAGAGGTACAGCGTCGGCAAAACTTGCCCCAGCACCAGCTGCTACAAGACGTGACAACTCGCTGAAACAGCACCTTGTATACGGTAGAACGACTGTGTGAGCAACGACGTGCGGTGACAGAGTTCTTTGAAGACAGCAGCAAGCACCACATCACTCCAGAGCAGTGGACGCTTTTGAAGACCCTGATAACTGTACTGTGACCATTTGAGGAGGCGACGCGCCTGGTGTGCATGGATGATGCCACATTAGGTCAAGTGCTGCCTCTGCTTAAGTTCATTGAAAGGAGCCTTGAACGGATGGCCAGCCGAAAAGGGGCAGCGGGTACTGCACAACATGCTGCCAGCCTGCTAACTGCATTGCACAGCAACAGGCATCTGAGCAGCATCAAGGAAGACATTGTGTACTGGGCTGCAAGCTTCTTAGATCCAAGGTTCAGGAACACATTTGGCAACTACACTGAAGACCAGGCCGCTTCAAAACTGGAAAGGACTCAGGAGCACCTTATTCGCCAGATTGAGGAGACCATGGATGCTAAAGATGACTGCATCACAAAAGAAACCTCGTCGCAAATGTCAGCGCAACCGTGCAGTACATCGGTTCAAACAGTGACCCCACCTCCAGCTGGAGAATTCAGCCTGTGGTTTTCCAGCTCGGACGAGATGGGACTGACCCAGTCACAAGTGGGGTCAGGACATGCGCCATCCCAGCCATCCTTAGCTGCAAAGGTTGAGCTGGACGCATATGCTCAGGACAGAGAAGCTGACAGCTATGGAGTGCAGAGTGACCCATTGCAATATTGGGCAACAAAGAAAAACCGGTGGCCTTCTCTTTTCGTAACTGTAGTCAAGCACCTGGCATGCCCCCCAACCAGTGTTTACTCTGAGCAGGCATTCAGTGCAGCAGGCATGATTGTAACCGAGAAAAGGAACCGTCTAAGCACGAAAAATGTTAACATGGTGGCGTTCATTCGGATGAACAGGGCTTGGATCGACAAGACAGCATCCCCAACCACTTCAATGCTAGAGCGAGGTCTGGTCAGCTCAGAATCAGATGACGAGGACGAAGAGCCACTTCTTAAGAGAGTTCACTTTGAAGATACTTAGTGCTTGATGCCAAGATCTACATATATTTATGTTCACAAATAATGGGACCCATTATATTGTGCTATCAATTCATTGGACCACATGAATCAGTATACTTCACTAGGGATATTGTACTTTCCACAAAGATGTTGTTAGGTGGTGGATGTGTTACAAGTAAAACTAAGAATGATTATATTTCTATACAGCAGTCAATTATAGCAAACTGATGTTAGCCCTGACTGTAGGATTAATTTTGGTAAGTTGGTGTCGCAGCATGTCAGTGAGTAAAGAAAGCGCACGGAAGCCAAAGCAATGTGTGTTTCTTAAATAGTATAGTTGTTTGTAAAAAAGTAAGGTGTCAACGGCATGAATCACATTTTTTGCCTAGCAAGAAAAAGGCTTATCATGGTGCACAGCTGCAGATAAAAAAATGCTTAATTTCCACATCTCCAGGGATGCATATCCACCACTCAGTTACGTCTTTGCAGAAAACAAGTCCCATGTGAAGCAGCACAATTTTATGTGGTTTATTGAATGGGTGGCACAATATAATGAATAACCCTGTACAAAACATTTTCGTCACGTTTTCACATCTAGTCCCACTATTTGCAGTGTTCCTATAGATATGTTTTAAAGGAGGACACGGCGTGCTCTAGTCCTCACACTTGCGACGCAAGTTTTTGTTGGTCGTTTTATCTAGTCATTGTGTCTTGCCTTAGTTTTCCGAGTTAAATTCTATAAAGCCATATTCTAAGGACATCATTATTTTGTCTCTCTTCAGGTACAAGTGAAAATATAGTTCAAATGCTCAGGATATTTTACAACTTTGGAGATAAAATCCTGCTACTCAAGCAAGAATATACCATACAAAATTCTGATGTATCTTACTGACACCCTTATTCCGGAATGAGGGGACCCATAACACGGGCGGATCTTCCAACATTGGCACATTATTTGTTGTTGTCGCCACACCATGCAGTGCTCTCTACGCTCCGTTCTATAGTCTACAATGTTGTCAAAGCTAGAGGCGCAAGCGAGCTGTTTTTCCAGTTGCGTGCAGGGCTATCAAAGGTAGAATACGGGCTTGAAAGCATAGCTATGCTTGGTTTGCGCTCACGCACAGAAATCAAACCCGAAATACATTAAAACGGCCCTTGACGCTCCGCCTCGTACACATCACTGGGAAGATGAAATGGAAATCACGTTATCCGGAGTCGGTGGCGCATCACTTGTCACTTGGGCAGTCGACTGCTTCAATTTCCGGTTGATCTTCAGTTCTTGAGGCAGAACATATTGAAGAGAGCCACACTCACGAAAGCTGACAAACACACAATGTCGCCTACTGCGCACCTTGCCGTAACCACTAGTAGTACACTGTACGAGTATGACGATGGTAGGAAACCGCACGACCGCACGGCGTCCATTTGCAATCCATGGCCCCGTCTGGCGCCTCCACTACAGCGCACCGTTGTTCTCTCGCCTGCTCAGACGTTTGCCGAATTTTTGCCGAATCTTTGCCGAACTTTCCAGCAAAAGTTCGGCAAGTGCCGAACTTTGCCGAATCTGAAGTTCGGCAGATTCGGTCCATCACTACTGCGGACTGTCATTTGCATGATGTAAGGATAAACTGTAAATTTGAATGCATGGACATTCCCTCACTTTGAACGAAAACACGTGTGTTAGCGGTGGCCGGGTGCAGGCGTGTCGATGATTGGAAATCATAACGTTGGTTTGTGTAGGAATAAAATAACATTTATTTTAACTAATTAACTTTGATAACATGAAGAGGTCTTTTTTGCGTCAGTTACGTGGCGCGCATTCGGTCGTTCTTTTCAGAGCGATTTCTTCTTCCCAGGCAGGTGCTATGGGCAAAGTTCAGTTTTCCGAATCACGCTCACGAAGCGTGACCTGCTCGACGATATAAATTACACATCCTGTTGCCAGTGAATCCTTTACTAGCCTGATCAATGTAATGTGAATTTCTATGTTACAATTATTGGCGTTAATGAAATTTCGAAATTTTATTTAATTGTGTTGTTTACAGGTCCATACCACATGAGTGAATGACGTTTCAGCACACAGCGACGTTTTAGCAGATTACGGTGGAGCGTGTCAGCCCCCCCTCTCCCCCCCCCCCCCCTTCCGTCCCCGCTCTGCACTTACGCCACTTTGCGGCGGCAGGCTGTAGCGGCTCATTACAAAAGTGGGAACCCACTTGGCCCACCCGTAAACGCCGCTTCACGGCGGCCGACGCTTCCTTGACGTGTCATTCAGTGAAATGTCGGCGTTCGCTAAAACGTCATTCGATCAAGTGAGTTCCTCCCTTAAAAAGTGCATTGCTGCTGAGGTTTATAGAGGCGGTTTATTATAAACAGTTGTCATATACTAACAGTGAAACCCAAAGTTACGACGATCTAGCGTAAAAGTTACGTCCGTTAGTTATGGCAAGTAACGACACCGGTATTTTGTTGCATCTGCAAAATGGTAACGGAGCTCTGTAATGCGTTAGCTTTTATTTGTTCTAAGGAGTAACGCTATTTCGTTACATGTATTTGGTCACGGGGACAACATTACTTGGGAGTAGGACATTTTATTTCGATTCATTTTATCCCGTGGCACTGTACAAGTAAAAACGATGAAAATGTAAAAATTAAAAACAATTATTACGAGATATCATTTAACAAATTAGTAATGGTATTCCTAAAAGCAGCTGCGTTAGTAACTACTACTATTACTACGGGAAGGCTATTCCGACCAATGGAGTTTTGGTGCAAGGAGGAGGCATTAAAAGATGTCCCGCGAAGAGGGACCCTTACTTTTAGTTCGTAATTGGTTCGTGATGATATGTAAGATAGTTCTCAAAATGCCGAATAAGTAGCGGTAGAAGAGTAATTTTCGTCGCTGTACCCCGATTTATGGGATGTCAGCGAGCGAATCCCTTCAGAAAGCGGGCCAGAGAAACATGGCTGCCGCTTTGTCTGCTGTCCCCACCGGGCGCCGAGCTGATGGTATTCGTAACGGTACCCCCCGGGCTATAACGCAGTCTTTTTTCGTAGCAAGTGTGCCTAAGCAACTATACACATAAAAAAGCAATGGGCGGCGAAATGGCGTCAGAGTATCTACATCCCAAGAGACATGCTAGGACAGAGAGACATCACATTGTGGCGCCTATTTCGTGAGGCTCGACGTACTCTTCCTGTGTCTTCGTTTATTTCTTTCGACGTGCTGTGAGCGCGAGACCGACGTTCGACGTGACAGTTCGCTAGCGCAATATCCTGCGGATCTAAACTAAGACACAGACAATGCTCCCGGAAGATGAAGGAGCCGATCGACAGTGTTTCACGTTGACCCAAGAGGATTGACAGACGACAATGCGCAAGTTCCGCTATTGCTTCTTCTTGTTTTTTTTTTGTTTTTTTTTTGTGACAAGATTAATTTTATACGTATGTTCGTCCCTTTCCTTTCGTGTCACGCTTTGGCGCCTGTATCTGTCACGAGTTCCGGTAGAGTCGTTCGGGTGGTAATATACTAGAACGGCTAGAATCGCTTTTGTCCCAGGAAATAGTCTTCGTGTAAGTAATGCCGTTTCAGTCTATGAAGTTTCAGGTTTCTTTTTATGCGCAAATAAACGAAGCATAGCTGCCAAAAATTGCCTAAATATATTTTAGGGGGAAAGGGGGGGGGGATAGAGGCTGGAGCCTCATAAGCTTCCTGGCTACGCTACTAGGTCACAGTCTAAAGCGAGCCTAGGAAAGACATCGCTCATGATTTCAGACGTAACATTTAAAGAGAGATAATTAAAATAAATGCTTCTGCACAAAATACGAAGTCTTAAAAGCATCGCCGTTTTCTTCTCACAAGCCACACGTAGCATTGGAAGGAGGGAGCGCTCGGCCCCGGGTCGGCCTTTTCTAGGTGACGTAGCAAGCCCACCATCACGGCCTTGAGATCAATCGTCGCTGACAGCTTGAGAAGCGCAGGGCGTGGTTTGTTGTGGAGGGTAAGGCGGGGCAAAATGAGACATTTTGACATCAGCGCCATCATCTATAATCGAATCGTACAATGTGATTAATTGGGTATTTTGCGAACATGGGCCGGCACTTCTCCACTTTACTTCGTAAACAATCTGCTACAATAATGTAAACACCCCAACGAAAAATATTTTTTAAAAAAACGTCGTTAACGTTCGTGAAAGTACGACCCACCAAAGTGTTGTTAAATCCTGCACTTGCATTCTTCTGGAGGCGTGCAGCTGAGTTTTACTGGACCGGGCTAAGCCCTTATGTTAATTGTCTGTTTCGTTGGCTAATTCGGGATAAGGTTTTATCGCCTTAGGGTTTGACAGTTCATGCGATGAAATTATTTAAATAAGAGCGTACACAAGGTGAAAAACGCGACAAAACGCGAGTCCGAACGGTTGCCGTACTTTGTTTTCGCGCAGGGGCCTGAGGTCCGATTCCAGGGAACGGACGCTCCTTTTCCTTATTCCTTCAATTTAGCATTCTCGTAAGTTCGATAACCCAATCGTCTGATCGAGGTACGAATGTTCTACACACCAAATGTGCTACGCCGAATGTTCCAGATGTCTATGTGGGTACTAAAGATGCTCCGAGTGGCGATCGGGGACCAGTCTCGCTCTTTCGCTCGGTCGTGCTATTCCGCCGACCTGCGACGCTACCTCCTTGATTTTTTTCTTTTTCTTTTTTTTTTCGGCACAAGTTTGCCAACTGCAACGTTTAGTTTATGTTCATTCATCGCCTCATCATCTATCATTTGTGATAATATCCCCATCAACTGGCGCAAAGTGATCCTTGGTGGCTAAATGTTGCATCCTCATCTAAAGCCGCTTTTTACTATTATTATCTGGGACAATCTGGACGTCTAAGAAAACAGCTCTTAAAAATCCAAAGATCACACGACGAAAGCGCTTAAAAGTGCGCATCAGCAGTGGCAGTCCATTCGCGCTGCAGCGAAAGTCATCGGTAAACTAAGGAAGTAGTCCAGAGGCTTGCAATAAAATT